TTTTTTTTTAATTTATTTATTTTTACCTTTGTTTCTTTTGTATATTTCTGATTAAGCCTGTTTTCTACCTTATAACTGAGAATAACACTCAGGTGGGGAGGAGGACAGCTGTAATCTCTGTCTCCTCAGTCCATCTCAGACCCTTAGTGGCAACTCTTAACCACTGAAGAGTCCTCTGGAGCAGTTTGAACTTTTCTTGAGAGTAAGAGTGATTCTTAGACTTAAGAATTTTGATAACTTACACTTAAGTCTGAGAGTAGGAGCAAATCTAAGACATTTTCTGCACTTAAGTCTAAAAATCCACTCTAAGAAGTTTGATAAATACGGGCCCTGATTCCCTCTGGACCAACCTGGACTTTGGAACAGTTAAATGCAGACAATAATTAGATATAAGGGATCTGGAGGACATGTACTGTAAGGCTGCAGGAGGTCATCTGGCACCTGTCAATCTCTTACTGSTTGTTAAGGCAACAGAAAATAAAACAACTTGATTTTAAGAAACAGACCCACAAATGTGAAACAGGAAAGTTTGCTATAAAAGTTCCAAAATATAAAAAACTAAAGAGGTGTGGTGTTTGTATTTTCCCCACTTCAAATCCCCAATGCTAACTTTTAATGAGCCTTGGATTGTCCACAGGTGGAACTTAATTATGTGTCAAATAATCTCAGCACACATCTGAGATTAAAGCAACACCAAGGAGTGAGGGCTAAACCACCAAATGAGACAACATGAAGACCAACGAACTCCCAGGTCAGAAACAGTAGTACAGATCCAGATTGAAAGAAATAAGAAATCCCAGACCCTGACCATGTCCAGGTCGTGTGGTAAGAAAAATAAGACAGTAATTGGAGTGAATACTTTTGCAATCCACCAGCAAGAAAATAAGCACATAAAATTAAAAATGTTTGAAAACTGCTAACTTGACAAACAAAACTTACCTGATAAAAGATGTTTATTTTAGTGATTCTTCTGTTTTCATCTCTTCCATTTAAAATTAAACACTTTATCAAGATTGGGCATAATGTGGCACCAAAAATTCAAACAGTTCATTTGTGTAACTTGCATGTATTTTAACCTGGTTAACTTTGGTTAACACTCGGTTGTACTAAACATCAGAACTGAACTGGCCCAGTTTTAGTTGCATTTATTGACCAGTAGGGAGCAATATGAMTTTACATTCATATGTGTGGCTTTAGCAAACGGTTCTAAATTAGTGATCATTTTGAAAAAAAATAAAATAAAGCTTTAAGCCTCTAAACCAATTTGTAGAATCATTTCAATCACTTCTTCATTGTTTTAATTTATTTTATTTTTTTTTTTTTTTTTTGAGCCAGGGTGCTACATTTCTCACAAAGCTTTCATGTTTGTGACTTTAAGCACCGGCCATCTGGTTTCATTTTAACGGTGGATGAAAATGGCTCCTATTCTGTGATTTATCATTCAGGAGCTGCAGAGGAGCTCTTTAAACAGATTTTGTAGCTAATAGAGGTCTAGAATGCAGGATCTTTATTTAAAATAACTTTTTCTTCCAAATGTAACAATGTTCATTAGTTTGATTTTAGTTTAATCAGAGCACACACGCTGCCAAAAACRAAGGTCTTTGTTCTTGCATGCATTTGAAAATTATAACCTGGCTTTTTTTATGCTGCTTCTGCCTCAGCGAGTGGCCTTTTCCCCACCAAACCACCTTCATCTCAGGATCACAGAACCCGTCTCTTTCCTGAGCCGTAATATGTCGAGACATTCCCAGGGAGTTTGTATTTGTGTGTAATTCTTTGAACCTTCAGGCATCATTGTATTCAGGACTGAACCAGAGTTGTGGAGATGGTCTCCTGGTGTCACAGGTCTGCCTTGAATTAACTCAAACGTTCTTGTCTTACCCATCAGAAGCTTCTAAAACCATGACATCATCATTTGGGCTTTCACAATTTTAGTACATTAAAGAAAGCCATAAAAATGATCTTATTTGAACCTATAGCAAATAGAAACAATTTAATTGACATAAAACAGGAAAGACTTGGTCTAATTTACTGTCAGACAGAAAAAAATGGTTGAGTTGTTGTAGACTGCGTATGTAACACATTCTTATGCAATAGTCAGCACTCAGGAGTGTGTTGTGAATGACTCGGTTTTAACTACATCAAATTTTAGCTCAATGTTTGTAAAAATGACTGAATTATAACCTAATTTGTGTTTTCTGAGATCATTTGGCTGCAGTGGCCATCTTGAAAAGCTACTATTAGTTCTAGATATACGCTCAATAAAATTCAGTCCAGTGGTTCAAGAGATATTTTGCTAACAGCCTGACAGAATTTTAAAGAAAGATCTCAGGAAATCTTTTAGTTTTCTGAACATTTGGTGGGGGGGGGGGGGTCAGTTTCAGTTTCCACACCCATTTTTAAGTCAACATCTGTAAAATTATTTGAATTTTAGCCAGTTTATGTGATTTTTACAGTCAGCTGGTTGTAGTAGCCATCTTGGATCATATGAAATCCAATAGGTAAACAGTTGTCCATCCAATTATTATTTTGCAAGTTTCCTTAAAGTTTGTGAAAGGTTAGGACAGGTAAAAGAATGTTATGCCAGGATTTTAGGAGGATTCCTGTTAATTATGTTTGTTTAAAATAAGATGGTTGTAGTTAATTTACCTCAATACTTATTTAAAATGGGGAAAGCGCAAAGACTTCCAGTTATTTAAAAGTTTTTAAGGGTTATTGGTTTTCTGATGAGAAAAAAAATATTTAAATTGTCCTGATGCATCTCAGTAATCCAGGTAAAAAAATCAAAAAGAAAAAAATTGTATAGGTCTTCTGGACGGGTTCTTCTCTAATGAAACGTTTCGTCTCTCCTCCAAGAGACTTCTTCAGTCTGAGAGTTTCAGGCTAAATTCAGGCTTTTGAGCCCTGCCTCCATGTGACTGATACATCACATGGCTATTGTTGACACCTAATTAACACCTATTGTTAACAGGGGTGGAGTGATACTGGCAATAGCAGCACTGTAGGAGGGGGACAACTGAAAACGGAGGCCTCCACCTCTGTTTAATGATGGACGGTCTTTCTTCACAAAAATGGCTTCTTTTACTCCTCTCTCAAACCAACGTTCCTCTCTATCAAGAATGGGAACATCCTCATCTCTGAAAGAGTGACCDCTGGCCTGTAAATGAGTGAAAACTGCAGAGTTCTGGCCATTAGATGTAGCTCGTCTGTGTTGGGACATTCTTTTGAACAGTGGCTGCTTTGTTTCCCCGATGTATAACTGGTCGCAGAAAAAGTAAATTGGTTATCCAACAAAGTTGAGTCAGCTTCTCTGGACAGGTTTTTGTTTAAAACATTTCGTCTTTTATCCAAAAGACTTCTTCAGTCTGAAGAGTTGTAAACTCAGCCTTATAGGCTGAACCTTCACATATTGGATCAACCAGTTTGTTCACTTGTCAAAGAGGACATGGCTGCTTGTTGTTACCAGAGGACTGAGTCATTCTTACAATAACAGGATTCTAAAAGGGGGACAGTTAGACAAGAAGGCCTCCACCCGTTTAACACATCCCTGAAAGAGCGACTACTGGCTTGTAGATGAGTGTAAACTGCAGAATGTATAACCGGTCACAGCCCTCTTGGCACTWAACAGCATACACAACATTACTCTGTGCCAGGAGAACGAGACTTTGGGGTGAACCAGTCTTGGACTTAATGTGTTTTGGGGTTTGAAAGTCTTCCAGCTGTTATGTTTAAAAAAAACACAACCTTGTTAGAAATTTCATGGATCATTGAGCATTGGACACTTTAATTGGCGATTTTAAAAAACAAAAAAGGCTGCCTTAAATCACTGAAAGAAGTCAAACAAAATAACAAACACATTTAATTATCAACCTTTTGGACTTTATTCAGAACAATCCAGGTGAGCTGATTTCATTCATATACAGTATTCTGGAGCCACTGAAACCAGGTGATCAGACCCAGATCAGAGGGTTTTATAATGATGTGTTTTATGTAACAAAAGCAAAATAGGCCTCTCTGTTGCTACTATCAGTACATACCAGTTAAAAATATCATTCAAGGAATATAAACTCCACAACACAACAACAAGATTAGCAAGTGGAAACAAAAAGAAAAAAAAAACAAAAAGATGGATGTTTGAGATTTATTCGACCTCTGCGGCACCAGCGCACGTGGAAGTCAGCATGGCTTTTCATTTACAGTAGTCATTATGYAGGCCACAATCACAGGGGTTCCAGTTACGATCAGTGCTGCAGGGTTTAATTACAGGGAGCTCCTGACATGCATAGACACATTTAATGTTTATTTTTAACCCTTGTTCGTGCTGTAAAATTAGACCGATTTAAAATAAAAAAAAATGCAGAGCTTCGCTACAGTTAAAAGGATATTTTTGTGGGTGTTTGTTGCTCGTTTAGACTAAAACCTGCATGATTTGGTCCAAATACGGAGAGGGCAGAAACTTTACGATGGGTAAAAATAAAGCATAAAGGAAGCTGTGGAATTACATGCATATTTTCAGGCAATGGATGCTTTGTAACTAAAACACTACAATTTAGGAGTTGCACTTGTTACAGCTTGAAGTTGATGAAAAGAGGAAAGCATTTAGTTAAATAAACTAGGTGGATGGTCAGCCTGCTCCTGGCAGATAAATGACAAAACATGTTTAAAATATGAATGTATTCATTCAAGATTACATATATTTTAAATATGAACAATTAATATCTTACCTGCTGTAGATGGCTTTTCAAACAGTCTCATTTTAGAGAAAGAGTTTTTGTTGGACAGCATTGATGAGCTAACAGACCAAACAACAAAAATAATAGTGGGCTGCTGTCTAAACCAACCCCCAATTCCATATATTTCATAAAATACGCCTTTATATAAATTAAAAAACCTAACATTCCCGGACGGAACAAGATTTAAACTAAGAACATATGTTGAGGAAAGTTGTAAATAAAGTTATACGCAATCTCAGGCAATATTGTGAGGATTTGTTAAAAGTATTTGAGGTCAGAGTGTGTATTCTGAAGGTCTCTCAGCTACTTTACCACCAGATATTTTGCTAATATCACACAAAAAACTAAACACACACAAAGATGAGAGTGAAAATAATAATTACTATTTTTATAAGGCCTTGTTTCAGAAAAAATAATAGAAAATGTAAGCCAGAATCGACTCAGGATGAAATGGAAGTGCTACAGCTTGCTGCTGCTGCTAAGAATTGTTTAGTAAGAAATTGATGGTACTGTAAAAATAAATTTAAAATTTTAATGGTTATGTGAAATTTTGGAAATTGTATGTTTTTGGATCCAGAAATCCACTTTAGCCATTGGCTCATCAGTCTTGTCAAACAAATTATTTCACCAAACTGAGGTCTTTTAAAATGCTATCTACCACAGGTAAGATATTAATTATTAAAAACCTTTMCACAGAATCCCACTTCAACATATTTACATCCTTACATTAAGTAGTGATTTAATAATAGAAGATAACTTTTTAAAGTGCTCTAGCAGCTTGTGATTGATTGTTCTTTACCCCACTATGTTTATCTTGTTATTTTTGGTTTTCACTCTTGACTTGGTCTTATTTGAGAAGGTCAGATGTTCTGTTTCAGATGCTTTCACTTTTTGCTCTGTTTCCTTCTGCGCACTGTTTGGAGATTTTTCCTTTTCAAGCTGATCTCATCTCTCAGGCTGTTTGTTTGTGTTTTACTGTTTAAATTCTCTGTGAAAGTTTGATTTGTCGTTGGTTTTACTTTGACTCCAACAAGCTTCATCCCAGCCGTCTTCTTAGGTTGTGCCTTCTTACTTAAAGTATTCTTTGTTTGAACCTTCTTTTCTTTCTTGTTCAGTTTTTTCGATTTCTTCCATGATTTTGCTTTATTCGTCTTCGTTGCTTTGGCAGGGGGCGGTTTGGCTTTCGGCTTTGCAGCAGTGGCCACCGTGGACACGCTGGCTGTAGCTGTTGTTGGTCGGCGCTGGCTGCTTGTCACTGGTGGTTTGGTGGTCAGGTTGTATTTTCTTGGTGGTGGTCTTGTTGGTTTTTCATTTGTCTGCAGCACAGTCCCTGAAATGGCCCAGACAAGAACGCATTTTAACAACTCGGCCAACTCTGCAGCCACATTGTACCTTTTTAAAAGTCAATTAAATATTTGGTCCCTAAATTTGAATACTTGTCTCTTTCTATTTTAAATATGGCTTATGTATCAAACAAAGAAAAGAGAGAAACATCTTTTTATGTTTTAAATTTGTCCCCATTGTGATTATTTAATCTAGCTTTAAGAAGACCAAGAATAAAAAAAACAATAAAGTGAAAACTGAATATAGGTAATTCATTAGCTCTCAAAAACAATTTCTGCTTTGATTAACCTCTAACTACCAGTAGTTTGCGGTATTGCGAAAACTGGAAATACGGTACTGTAAGGAACATAAATTCTTTTTTTAATCATACTTTTCATGAGTGTTCAAGCTAAATTATTAAGAAGAACATCATTTATTAATTTTGTCAGATAAACATTAACATAAATTCAATTCCATAATAAAAAATATATATAAACGGTACAGTTTGTGACATTTGCCCTGTGCCCACGTTCCGCCCACAGTGCAGCATTAGTTTATTGTGTAGTACCACGTGGTGTGTAGCTGCTAACTGTTTTCACTCTCATGTTATTTTCTCTGGTTCTTACCACATTAAAATGCAACTCAAATGCAATGTAGGCCTCTTCTGGACCCCATCCGATATTAGCTTTTTTTTCCTCCACATTTTGCTACGTACACTAAAAATGCAGTCCATGGGAAAATGGGGGCTTCACTGTATTGCCTTTTGTAATATCAAATCTGTCAACGCATTTAGTGTGTTAACCACCAACCTGCTGGCTAGCTGCCACAACCTCATATTTTCATGTTTCTTTTAGTCATACTGCTTCCTGGTAGACAGTTAAACTCTGCTATATGAAGGTCTATGGGGGACACMTAGAGATATTCCACAAGAAATCTGGCTTTTATGTACATTTGGAAGCCTATCAAGGCCTAAATTTCACAAAGAAACTCTACAAAAACACATACTGCCCTGCTCTCATCAACCAGGAAAAACTCCAAACATCAGTCACCTAATTCATCCTGTCATTTCCCACAATGTTCAATGTGATCCTGTTTGTGGTTTTGGGTTACATTTCTACAAATAATTGATGTTCTTGCTATATATCCTTCCTGATGACCCAGTCTTCTACAGTATGTTTCTGTTTTGCTGCAATGTCAGCCTTTCGTTTTCAATATTTACTTCTTCGTCTTCATGAGTCTTCATAGGTCAAACTTCACCACCCAAACCTTACAAAAAAAATAACCCTGTCCATCAGCTACATCACTGTTTCCTGTTCTTTCTGTCATCCTCCTCCTCTGTTCTGCCACCTTTCCTCCTGGAGATGTCCTGACCAAGCTGGCGTCCAAAACCAAGAAAGACCTCCTGCTCCCTGAACCCTGTGTCTTCACCACTTGTCAAATCATGGTTAGGAGTTCTGTGCCATGTTAATGTATTAAACATGGTAAACATAATAAACTCATCAATGCCCTCAGGCATCGTTCCTTCTTGTTGAAAACTGGCCTCTGTCACTCCTGTCTTCCAGAAACCTGGTTTGGATCAACAACCTTCAACTACCTTCGCATTTCTCAGTGAAATACAGCAAAAATAGTTTATACTCAACTTGTCACTATTATCCCTTCCAATCCAGATTCATAGCACACCACAGTACTGAGATTACTTCTGTTAAAATTACCAGCTTTACCCACAGGACACAGTTTTTCACACTATACCTCATAACCAAATGTCTCACTACCTCAGTATCAGTGGTACACCTCAGTCCTGGTTCCAGTCAGAATCAGTTTGTTGTTGGCACTCACTCCCCTGCAGCTGTGGTTAATTCAGAAGTACAGCAAGGCTGTGTTCTTGGACCTCACCTCTTTATCATTTACATTATAATGCTCCCCTGTAGTCCCATTATGTCCTGCTACAGACTCAAATTTCACTCATATGCTGATGAAACTCTATTCTACATCAGCACCACTTCATCTACTGTTCTCCATGCCTCACCCCAGGATGCAAAACATTTTGGTAACAAAGCTTTCAACCAGCTGCAGGCATTTACAATGTTTCATCCCTGAAAATATTTTAAAAACTACTGAAATGTTACTTATTTTTTGTCAATTTGGGCTTAAGTTGTTCTCAAAATTAGTCAAAAATTAAAAAAAAATTGGATGTAACTCTCCGACCCTATTTGTCTGACTTAATAATTTTAGCTAAATTTATCCTATATTTTCACAGGCTCTAGTTCACTCAAAAATCCTTTACAGAAACATTCAAATGGCTCTTTAAAGAGCTCTGAAATATGTCATTTAAAAGCTAAGAAGGATAAACACAACTTACGTTCCCTGGGGACAAATGGAAACTTTTTCCCCCTCACTTTGACTGGGAGAGGCTTCTGCTTGCATTTACCTGGAGGAGCTCTCCTGCAAAAGTTGACAAGTTAAAGGACTTCTTTTTGGTAGATAAATAAAACTTTAAACCATGTATTTCAGTCTGTGTTTAATGCATAAACTGTCAGCTATAGTTTATATATAAGAGATGTAAGATTGTAGGGTCATGAGGAAGCATTTGATTTGCTTCCTTGAACGGGATACGTGAAGAGTCAGCTCTGTCCCACTATAATCTGAGACACAGCTGAGGCACCACTGAGCAAGGCACACATCTCCCTTATAGTCCATGGTCTCTAGTCTGTACTCACATCCTCTAGTGAGTAGTTATTTGCWTGTTGCCTGGAGCGTTTTAACAGCTTACACATAATTTTAGTTCTGAGGTCAAATTCCTGCACGTTCTGCTCGTTTGAATTGACTGCTGGCGAAAAGAACAATAAAGTTTTTTTTCTTRTGTTTCTAAATGTGGACTGCTYTGTAGCATTAGCAAAATATCCTATGAACTACGRGGTGAGTTTCAATGAAATTATTACTGAGGGTTTGTCCACAATTGATTAACTTCTGGAGTCAACATGAATCAAGATGGCCACCAACTAATTGACTRTAGCCAATGAAAAAAATGATTACAATTTAATCAAATATACAGATACTGAGCTATGAGCTAAAGTTTGATGTGGTGGTAATTTGAATAGTTAAAACGGCTGTATAATTTATTTTCCAGGCACATAGTTAAATTCTGTACCCCAATCAAGTAACTATGCTACCTTCAGTTGTTATGAAAATGATGTATATATCAAAAGTAAATTTGAATAAATCTAAACACCTTTATKTGTCTACATCTGCCTCTCTACCGTTTCCGACACTCCCTCTTCAATATGTCTTCACAACAATGCTTTGGGGGGAGGGGTGCTCTGTGGATTGGGGGCTTGGTTGCATACTGAGCTCCAGGGAGGAGCTAAGTGTAATAGGCGGTGCTTTGTACCAGCAAGCGTTTAGGCAGCTCCACATGGCTAACAAAGCAACACTCAAGCCACAATGACATCATAAACATGATATAAAGTTTAAATTTTTTTTTTGATTTTGTATAACTACCCCCCCCCCAACATATACTCTGAGCACTGTTATATTTGAAAAGATGTAGCAAGAAACAGGGTGAGTCAAAAGTCACAGGACACCCTTTTATTTCGGAAAGCAAAGGGAAGGTTATATATTTGAAAACCCCAGCAAGTAATGGGTGAGGGTTTTTTAATTTTATTTATTTATTTATTTAATTTATTGCAAAAATCCAATATGGTGGCTTTCAAGATGGTGGCCATGTTCTGGACATAGGCCCAGTCCCAATGAACAGTGGTACGCCCCTCTGAATTGTGGATTCAGTCGAAGTGTACATAAGTGTTTGAGTGCGCAGGTTGCAAGCGTGCAAAAAAATTGAGAATTGGGACAGTACGGATTATGTCATTGACTTGCGCCTCTGCGACATCCAACCAGTCACTATTTTGGCATTTGTATCGCTAAAAATGATAGTACAACTACAAAAAGCAGTCGTTTTTAGGAGAATAAAGCACATGAAGCAAAGGAGACTTATACATCAGAGTATGAGAACTAACTTCTATAAGTTCTTCTTTTGGTTTTATTTGTAGTTGGCAGACTAATTTAAGTGCTTTACTGCCWCCACTAAACTGGAAGGTGCTCAGTGGACATTGCCAGTTTTCTGCCTTTTAATTCAAAATGTCACACAGAGCGATGAATTGTGGGTAATACACTTCACCCAAGTCCGTTAGAATGCAGACTTCACATAAGGGTGGAAATAGTACCCAAAGTGGGCGGGGCAAAGGGCGGATGTGGAGAATGTGGGACACACTACGCACTCAAACCCTTCAACATGAACGCACATTTGAAGTGCACAAGGGCAGAACGAGGGTGGGAGTGTGAGTACTGGGACAGGGTCATAGTCTAAAACATTACTTGTTGGGAAGATCAGATCATTTTGCTTTTTCTTTCTGAAACAAAAGGGTGTCATTTGGCTTTTGACTCACTCTTTATAATGAGATTGTGAATAACATAATTAAAAGATTTGACCAAAATCCCTACAGAGCTGTGATTTCTCATGTTCAGATTATATTTCTCATGTTCAGATTATATTTCTTTAAAATTCTAGCATGAATGTTGGTGGGCAATATGCATTCCATCAAGGAATGCCGTTTGATTTAACTGGATCTGTGTTCTTAGAAAACTGTAAAAATCCTCAAATTATTTCAATCATGTTTAAGTTCTGAAAAGTTCAAATACTTTCTGGATGCAGCCTTGTAAATTAGGGGTGCAAAAATACATGTACCCATATCGAACAGTGCTGTATCGAACAATACAGATTTTAAAAATTTAC